CATCTTTCTCCCATAGAGGGGCTGGTGGGTTCCAGTTGCTAACCTTTCAGTTAGCAGCCGAGTACTTAACCATTGCACCATGAAAGCCCCAATGGGACCATATTCCCCTACAGAACATAAGCCTTAAGCCACTGGGGGAAGTGCAGCAAACCCTGTTGCTCCCAGGGGAAAAGTGAAGATCCATTGTGGCTAGAGGAGGGAAAAGAAATAAAAACAATCCTCTACCTGTGGAGGAAGGGCAGGAAACCATCCTTGGCCCAGACCATTAGAGGCTGTCTAGCATTGGAAAAGGAGCAGAATCAGTGGAAAAGACCCACCCTCAAGACCCACAACCTAAAACTGAGGCTGGCCAAGGACAACAGAGAACACTCTTGCACCCCCCACCCCACCAGGCCAGCAAGAACAGAGTAATAACAACAGTCTACTACTGAGGGAGAGGCAAGAGAACGGAGAGAGATCGTCTATGAGATACAGAAACACAGGAAAGGCCTAAAGGCCAGGGTGGTGCAGGAACACTGAGAAAAATTCTCTGGCAAAGCAGTGCCTATCCTAAGCACAAGGTAACACCAGAGGAATCTGAAGTCTACAGTACACTGAAGGTAACCATAAGAACAACAAAACCCAAACCCAGTTCAACTCCTGACTAGATGGACTCAATCCCCTCAAGCTAACGGCCTACCAGAAGATGATCCTTGTTTATTTCAAGACATAAATACTATGTACCTCAGTTTATACAGTCCTACATACAACGTCCAACATTTGGCTAAAAATTATCAGACATAAAGAAAATGAAAAATACTACTGCAATAAACCAAAAAAGACGTACATAAATGGAAAAAACATACCATGCTCATGGATAGGAAGACTTAACATTGTGAAAATGTCAATACTACCCAAAGCGATCTACAGGTATAATGTAATCCTGATCCAAATTCAAACAGCATTCTTCAACAAGATCGAAAAACTAATCACAAACTTCATATGGAAAGGAAAGAGGCCACGGATAAGTAACGCATTATTGGAGAAGAACAAAGCAGGAGACCTCACACTACCTGATCTCAGAATCTACTACATAGCCACAGTAGTCAAAACAGCCTGGTACTGGTACAACAACACTGTCTATACTCATGGAACAGAGCTGAGAACCCAGAAGTAAATTCATCCACCTGTGAAGAGCTGATCTTCGACCAAGGGCCAATGTCCATTAAATGGGAAGAGACAGTCTCTTTACAAATGGTGCTGGCAAAACTGGTTATTTATCTGTAGAAAAATGAAACAGGACCCATAACTTACACCATACACAAAAACTAACTCAAAATGGATCAAAGACCTAAATATAAAACCTACAACTATAAAGATCATGGAAGAAAAAATAGGGACAACCCTAGAGGCCCTAATACATAGCATAAATAGTATACCAACCATAACTAAAAATGCACAAACAGCAGAAGATAAACTAGATAAATGGGATCTTTATGCTCATCAAAAGACTCTTCCAAAAGAGTAAAAAGAACACCTACGACATAGCTGACAAGGGGTTAATCTCTAAAAGTTATAGAAAACTTCAACACCTCAACAACAAAAAGACAAACAATCCAATTAAAAAATGGGCAAAGGACATGAACAGACACTTCTCCAAAGAAGACATTCAGGCAGCTAACACATGAAGAAATGCTTGCGATCATTAGCCATTACAGAGATGCAAATTAAAACTACAATGAGGTATCATCTCACCCCAACATCAATGGCACTGATCAAAAAACCAGAAAATCACAATTGTTGGAGAGGCTACGGGGAGACTGGAACTCTTATGCACTGCTGGTGGGAATGTAAAATGGTACAACCATTTTGGAAAACGACAAGGCGCTTCTCTCAAAAGCTAGAAATAGAAATACCATCCAATCCAGCAGTCCCACTCCTAGGAACATATCCTAGAAAAATAAGAGCCATCACATGAACAGACTATGCACACTCATGTTCACTGCAGCATTATTCACAATAGCAAAAAGACAGAAACAATGTAAGTGCCTATCAACAAACTTTGGTACATACACACAATGGAATACTATGCAACAATAAAGAACAATGATCAATCTTCAAGACATCTCACAACATGGATAAATCTGAAGGGCATGATGCTCAGTGAAATAAGTCAATCACAAAAGGACAAATACTGTATGAGACCACTATTATAAAAACTTACGAAAAGGTTTTACACAAAGAATCTTTGATGGTTACGAGGGAGGGGGAGGGTGAGGAGGGAAAAACACTAACTAGACAATAGATAAGTAGTAACTTTGGTGAAGGGTAAGATAGTACACAATACTGGGGAAGTCAGCACAACTTGACCAAAGCAAAGTCACAGAAGTTTCACAGACATATCCAAACTCCCTGAGGGACTGAATTACTGGGCTGAGGACTGGGGATCATTGTCTCTGGGGACATCTAGCTCAATTAAACATAACATAGTTTATAAAGAAAATGCTCTACATCCTACTTTGGTGAGTAGTGTCTGGGGTCTTAAAAGCTTGTGAGTGGCCATCTAAGATACACCACTGGTCCCACGCCGTCTGCAGTAAGGGAGAATGAAGAAAACCAAAGACACTAAGGAAAGATTCGTCCAAAGGACTAATGGACCACAGCTACCAAGGCCTCCACCAGACTGAGTCCAGCACCACTAGATGGTGCCCGCCTACCACCACCGACTGTTCTGACACGGATCATAATAGAGGGTCCTGGACAGAGCTGGGGAAAAATGTAGAACAAAATTCAAACTCACAAAAAAGACCAGACTTATTGGTCTGGCCGAGACTGGAGAAACCCCAAGTATGGACCTGGACACCCTTTTAACTCAGTACTGAAGTCACTCCTGAGGTTCACTCTTCAGCCAAAGATTAGACAGGCCCACGAAACAAACAATAATATACATAGCTCAACCATGTATACGAGATTAAATGGGCACACCAGCCCAGGGGCAAGGAGAAGGCAGGAGGGGACAGGAAAGCTGGAGAAATGGAAATGGGGAACCCAAGGTCGACAAGGGGAGTGTTGAAATGTTGCTGGGTTGGCAACCAATGTCACAAAACAATGTGTATTGTTTAATGAGAAAGTAATTTGCTCTGTAAACCTCCATCTAAAGCACAATTTTAAAAAACCCAGAAACAGAAATAACGTATAATTCAGCAATCCCCCTCCTAAGAATATACCCTAGAGAAATAAGAGCTGTGACACAAATAGACATATGCACACCCATATTCATTGTGGCATTATTCACAATAGCAAAAAGATGGAAACAACCTAAGTGCCCATCAACAGATGAATGGATAAACAAACTGTGGTACACACACACGATGGAATACTACACAATAAATAACAAATCCGTAAAACATCTCACAACATGGATGAATTTGGAGGACAGTATGCTGAGTGAAATATGCCAATCGCAGAAGGACAAATATTGTATGAGTCCACTATTATATAAAAACAAGGAAAGTTTTACTCACAGAAACATTCTTTGATGGTTACCAGGGAAAGGAGGGGGAGGGAGGGTAAATTACTGAATAGAAAACGTGGTAATACTGGTGAAAGGAAAGGCAATACACTATATGGGGGAAGTCAGCACAACATGACAAAGGCAAAGGAAAACACTGAGAGGAACACAAGAATATAGGGCAATTATGGCAATTACTATAACATAGACAATCCTTAAACAACAGTATTACCAATTTATGAAGGGATACACAGGTAGATTAAAAAAAAGTCAAAACTAAACCTGTTGCCGTCGAGTTGATTCCAACTCATAGTGACACAGGTAGACAGGTATGCTAAAGAGGCATGGGAAGATGTAACCAAGCACCCCTATCTGCAGATAAAGGTTAGGTTATGAATATCTCTACATACATATTTGTACATGTTTCATGTATACTAATTGTCATGGATTGAATTATGTCCCCTGAAAAATGTGTCAATTTGGCTGGGCCATGATTAATGGTATTGTGTGATTTTCTGTGTTGTAAATCCTGCCTCTATGATGTTTATGAGGGAGGATGGGCGGCAGTTGTGTAAGGCAGGACTCAATCTACAAGACTGGGATTGTGTCCTGAGGCAATCTCTTGAGATATAAAATAGAGAAGTGAACAGAGAGACAGGGGGACCTTATGCCATCAAGAAAGCAGTGCCGGGAGCAGAGCGCGTCCTTTGGACCGGGGTCCCTGTGCAGAGAAGCTCCTAGTCCAGGGAACACTGATGACAAGAAGGCCGACAGAGAGAGAAAGCCTTCCCCTGGAGCTGACGCCCTAAATTTGGACTTTTAGCCTACTTTACTGTGAAGAAATAAATTTCTCTTTGTTAAAGCCATCCACTGGTAGTATTTCTGTTGTAGCAGCACTAGATGACTGAGACACTAATATAGACAACAGAACACACAATGGGCACAGTCATGGAAACTTCTTATGAACAACCAAACATGCCCTGGGACGAAGATATTAGGCTTGAAGGCTAAGGATCACAGACTCAGGGGACATTTACGTAACATATGGCATAACATAGTGCATAAAGACAATGTTCTACATCCTACTTTGTTGAGTAGCATCTGGGATCTTAAAAGCTTGCGAGTGGCTATCTAAAATACAACTAGTGGTCTCTTCCCATCCACAGTAAAAGTGAATGAAGAAAACAATGACAAGGGTGCAATTAGTTCAAAGGACTAATGGACCATATGCACCACAGCCTACAAGAACTTAAGACTAGATGGTGCCAGCTATCACTACTGACTGCTCTCACCCGGATCACAATAAAGGGTCTCGGACAGAGTGAGAGAAAAACATAGAAAAAATCAAATTCACAAAAAAAGAGCAGACTTATTGGCCGGACAGAGACTGGAGGAACCCCCAAGGCTATGGCCCTATGACACCCCTCTGACTTGGAACTGCAGCCATTCCTGGAAACCAACTTCCAGCCAAGCAATAGACAGGCCTATAAAACAAACAATAATACCCGAAAAGAATGTGCTCCATAGAATAAACAATTATACAATACCAAAAGGGCAACATTTGCCCAAAAATATAAATGAGAAGGCAGCAAGGGGTAGGAAAACCAGATGAAAGGTAACTGGGAACCCAGGGCAAAAATGGGTAGAGTGTTGGGGATTGCAACCAATGTCATGGAACTTTGTGTACAATTTGTTAAATGGGAAACTAATTTTCTCTGTACTTTCACCTAAAACACAATATTAAAAAAATTATTAGACACAAAACAGCGAGAACAACCCACTGTCAAGAAATAAAGCAATCAACTGACCTAGACTTAGTTGACCCAGCTGTTGGAAATATCAGGCAGAAAATTTAAAATAACTATGACTAATATGTTAAACGTTATAGTAAAAAACATGAATAATGTGCATGAACAGATGGGGAATTACAGTAAAGAGATGAAAACGGTGAGTCCAATGAAAATGCTAGTAGTAAGAAAACAACTGAGATGAAGAATGTCATCAGCAGGTTCATCAGTAGACTAGACAGAGTCTGGGGTAGGGGTGGGGAATCAGTGACTTGAAGATAGGTCAGTGGAAATTGTCCTAACTGAAACATGAGAAAAAAGATTGAAATGACATACATGCAGGGATGGAAAAAGTCTAGCATTTTTCTATACTACAGTCTGTCCTATGGAAAAAAAAATCATTCATATGACTCCCTCATGCAAAATATGTTCACCCCCATTCTGGGACCTCCAAATGTTTCATCCCAATTATGGCATCAGGTTCAAATCCAGGAGCTCAAGTCTCCTGCATCAGGTCTAGATATGGCTGAGGCTTCCTGGGTGCAGTTTCCCAGTTTCTTGATCCAGAGACCTGTGAGCTAAATGACAAGTTATCTAACCCCTGCAAACACAATTTTATATATATGCATAGACACACACACTATAACTGCAAGAGACACTCCCATTCAAAAAACGGGAAGAAGAGGCACGTAACACTCACTGGTCCATAACTATCTGAAATAAAACAGAGTAAATGCTGCAGGTCCCCCTACTCCAAGTGCAGATAATGTTTCTCGATTTTGGCACAGTTCTCCCTGGGAGTGGCTCCCCAGTCCATTTTACTATACTGTTCTTGGGTCTTCTGAGATGCCCTTCTTTTCTCACAAGAACTGGTTCATGTTTGCAGTTGAGTAGCTTTCTCAGCTTGCTTCCTGTTCACAGAAGTTAGGGAGAGGAGTCCAGAGGCCACTTTTCATTTGAACTGGTTTAGACCCTTTAAGTCCATCCTGGAAGCAATTTCACTAGTAAAACTCCCTTTAAAAACATTATGGGCTTCCTATGAATCTGGTTCGGATCTACTCCATGCCCCAAATGCCACATCGACAATTCTTTTTAAGATAGGCCTCTCTTTGCTTTGTGCAATGTCAGGCTGCTGTGGGACAATGCTGTACAGATTTTTAGAAGCCCTTTTGTTTAGCTGAGAAGGTCTCAAGCACCAAAAAATATTTCACACGGAGGTCTCAAGATTCCAAAGAGTACGAAGAGAAGGTAAAAGCCTCAAAGTAGGCTTTTCATGCTTTTCAAGTCTCTTCTTGAATCTCTTTGCTAATGTTCCATTGTTCAAAGCAAGTCACATGGCCAAGCTCAGAGTTAAGGAGAAAGAAACTCTCTTAATAAGAAAAACAGCAAAGTAACAACGTAAAGGGACATGCATAAAGGGATGGGAGGAATCTGTGGCTATTTTGCATTCTACCACAATGAAAGAAAATAAAAATACTATGTCATGAACACCAGTATGTATGGTAGGATTGTATTATGTATTTATGTAAAATTATATCTGCAGACGTCTGTATATATAAAGACATGACTTAAATTGTGTATTCACTTGATAAAAATATTCAAAAACAAAAACCAAACCCGTTGCCATTGAGTTGACTCCAACTCATAGCTACTGGGCAACATATTTTATAGACACAATTATGCCTAATTCAAAAAATAATTTCAGTTCAACTACTCCTTCTGTTATACAATGTGTTCTGCCACACACTCAATATAGAAGTGAGACTACAATTACACACCACATATATTGTTTGCCTTTCATTTTGTAAATTGCTTAATATACCAAAGTAATCATGACTGTCATTTACATAATTTCACACCATCCTTCCTATAATTTGGTAACAATTTGCCTATAACTTTCTATAAAAAGGCTTTTCCTAATGCAGAAAACTGACAGCAGTTTTTCCCAGCATGAGTTCTACTTTGTGAGGCTGTGCAAATATGGAAAATTCCCCCTCTTCTAAATAATTTTTCTCATCTCAGGTGAAAGAACCTGATGAACGCTTTTCCTTATATATTCACATAGGATCTACCTTAGGTGAATTCTATAATATACACTTAGACCTGACTTCTGTGATAAGGCGTTCTAATTTTCAAGAAACAGGGTTACTTTCACGTATGAATATTGCGATGCATACTAAGAACTGATTTCTGTGTGAAACCCTTTCCACAGTCACTGCATTTATAGGGTTTATCTCCAGTATGAATTGTCTGGTGTTTATTGAAATTTGACCTGTCAGTGAAGGCTTTCCCACATTCTGCACATATATATGGTTTCTCTCCTGTGTGAATTCGCTGATGTACTTTGAGATGTGGTTTCTTGGAGAAAGATTTCTCACAGTCAGGGCATTTATAAGGCTTCTCTGTAGTATGAATTCTCTGATGTGTGATTAACTCTGACTTCTGGATGAAGGCCCTCCCACAATCTGTACAAACATAGGGTTTCTCTCCAGTATGAATTGTCTGATGTTTATTGAAATTTGATCTGTCAGTGAAAGCCTTCCCACATTCAGCACATATATAAGACTTCTCTCCAGTATGGGATTTTTGGTGGGTATTGAGATTTGACCTGTTGGTGAAGGCCTTCCCACATTCAGTACATATATAGGGTTTCTCTCCTGTATGGATTCGCTTATGCATCTGAAGTTGTGACTTGGAAGGGAAGGATTTCCCACACTCACTGCATTCATAAGGCTTCTCTCCAGTATGAATTCTTTGATGTGCAATCAAGTGTGCCTTCTGGATGAAGGCCTGCCCACACTCAGTACATATATAGGATCTCTCTCCTGTATGAATTCTCTGATGCATCCTGAGTGTTGATTTTTGGGTAAAGGCTTTCCCACACTCACTACATTTGTGGTGTCTCTCTCCAGTATGAATTTTCTGATGTATATTGAGGGCTGAGTTCAGGGAGAAGCCTTTCCCACACTCACTGCATTCATAGAGTTTTTCTCCAGTATGAGTTGTCTGATGCCTAAATAGAGATGACATTTGGAAAAATGATTTTCCACATTCACTGCATTTATAGGGTTTCTCTCTGGTATGAGTTTTCTCATGCATAATTAATTCTGAATTATGGATGAAGGCCTTCCCACATTCAGTACATATATGTAGTTTTTCATCTCTATGAACGCTCAGATATATACTGAGCAGCTGCTTCTGTGTAAAAACATTTACACATTTGCTAAGTTCATGAGGTTTTTCCACAGTATGAATTCCCTGGGGTGAAAACAGGTGTGACTTCTGGGCAAAGATTTTCCCAAATTCAGTACATGTGTTTGCTTTCTCCCCCACAGGAAATTTCACATTTTGACTGAGTGCTTGTTTGAGGCTGAGGAGTTTTCCACACTGATTACTTCCATGTAATTTCACTCCTGTATGAGTATTTTCGTGGCTAGCATAAGAACAACTCTGGGGGAAAACTTGACTATGTCCAATAATTTTATCAAAGTTCTTTGTTGCATTGTTTTTATTATGAATATGTAAGTCTAAATTATGCTTAAAACTCTTTCCAATGCAATCACGTTTATGGGGTCTTTTCTGTAAAGGAATAAGGTTTGGGCTTGGATAATCAAATTTTCCAATATCTTTATTTTCATAATCCCACTCTGTAGTCAATATTTTCTTGTTGACAAAAGCAGTATGATTCAGAGGTTTGTTTTGTTTTTCCTGATATCTTTCTATCTGTTCAGCATCTTGCCACAGTTCTTCTAAAATGGAATACAATGAATCATCTCTTGTATCTTCATCCTCCATTTCACTATGAAATGTAGCTTTTTCAGTAGTTCTACGTTGTGAGGTCTCAATCCCAAATTTGCTATCTAAAAGAGAAAGACAAATAGAAAATGACACAAAGCTTAGACAGCAGGAGACTAAGAAGGTATGTAAACTAATCCAGATTGAACACAGGGGAACCAGTAAATCTGACATGATGATGACAGAGATGACAATGATGAAAATGACAGGAAATACATATGTAGCATTTGTTATATGCCAAGAACTTATATGGCACTTATAATGTTCCAGGCACTAAGAACTATATACATGCATATATAGATATGAAGTCATTTAATCCGTTCAAAAGCCCTATGAGGTATCTACTATTATCAATCTTTTGCAGACAAGGAAAGTGAAGCTTAGAATGGTTATATCACTTTCCCTAAAACATGGTTATTAAGTGTTGTATATTGGAATTCAACATAAGCAGTCTAGTTCTACTTTGGTAGGAGGCTTGGCTATCTAGTAGGGTGGACAGAAGATTAAAAAAAAACAAGGGTTTTAAGGGAGGAAATATCTGTGGAGAACCTAGGTTTGGAGGAGGTGGCTCAGAGTCTAAGTCCTCATTGGCTTTCAATTCTAAACGCTCACTAATCCTGCTCCTTCATCTTGCTTGTTAGCAACAATATCAAATTAATGTGACCCAAACCCATTTTATTCATTTTTATCGGAAAAACACTGCAGTCATAGCCATCCTGACCTATACAAACAATAAATGGATGTCTATACTCCAACTCTCCATCCAGGTGTAATTATTTTCTTGGACTTAATTACAGATATCTAATACAAAATTATAAAACACGGGAGAGGACAAGCCATTTGTGGTGGAAACTGCAAGTTGTCCATTAGAATGGAGAATGTTTCCCTATTCTTTCACATTAATAGACTTGTAGTCAGGCATATGGACTACCCAGTCGTATAACCTTTGCTAGCCTCCTTTGCAAATTGGTGTGGCCAGACAACAATGTTCTCAATAGAATGTGAAAGAAAATTAAATGTTTTAGGTAATGAAATCTATCGGTGGAATTTAAGATGAACTACAAACAAGAGTGGAGTTTGCAAATCCCATTAGGAACAGAATAATCCAAGCATAAGAAAATATAGACCTGTTTTGTGGTTATATCACTAGAAATTAAGATGAAAGGATATCTAAACAGTATTCATTTAAAAAGAAACAATAGCAATTGCAGAGTAATTATAGGACTATGCTCATTTCATCTGTTACTACGTTTGCTGGCATAAAGTTGGTCATAATATATCTTTTTAATACCGCTAAGATCTGCAATGATGCTACCTTTTTCATTCATGGCATTGGTAACGTATGTTTTCTCTTTCTTTTTCTCTATTAGTCTTGCTAGAGATTTATCAATTTAATCGTACTAATCTCTTCAAAGAACCAACTTTTGGCTTTATTAGTTGTTTCTATTGTACATGTCCTGAGTTGCAAGCGTAGATCACCAAATTTAACAGTGGTTAGACAATATACAGTGAATGACTTCAACCCTCTGAAATTGGTTGCAGTTAGCTTTATGTCCCTACATAGGGCCTATTTTGGTCAGTGTGCCATGTCCACTTAAAAACAATGTATATTCTACAGTTGTTGGATGTAGTGACCTATGTATATCAATTAGGTCATATTGGTTTATCATATTTAAATCTTCTATATCCTTACAGATTTTTTTGTCTGCTTGTTCTATCAGTTAGAGAGAGAGGTTATGTTAAAATCTCCAACTACAACTGTGCATTTGTCTATCCATTTAGTACTGTCAACGTTTATGTATTTTGAAGCTATGTTATTAACTGCATACAAATTTAGTTTTTTTATATGTTCCTATTGAAATTTTATCATTATATAATGTACCTCTTTATCACTCATGATACTTCTTACTGTAAAGTCTACTTTGTCTGATATTAATAAACCCACACCAACTTTCTTGTGGTTATTGTATGCATGGTATGCTTCTTATTCTTTTCAACTTTTATGTGCCTTTATATTTATAGTGTGTATCTTATAAATAGAATACCGATGGATCTTGGTTTTTTTTATCAAGTCTGAAAATCTTTGCCTTTTATTTGTAGTTTTTTTTTTTCATCAGTAGACTATTTTATAGAACAGCTTTAGATTTACAGAAACACTGGGCAGTTAGAACAGTTACCCTCTGCGCATAGATTTCCTTATTATTATTATTAACATCTTACATTAGGCTGGTACATTTGTTACAAATCATTAACCAATATTGATACATCGTTATTAACTGAAGTCCGTACTTTATTCAGATTTCCTTAGTTTTTATCTAATGTTCTTTTTCTGTTCCAAGATCCCATCTATGATACCAAATTACATTTAATTGTCATGTCTACTTAGGCTCCTCTTGGCTGTGATAGTTTCTAAGACAGACTCTCTTTGTTTTTCATGACCGTTTAGCTTCCTAGGACTGCCATAACAAATCGCCACAAACTGGGTGGCTTAAAACAACAGAAAGATACTCTCACAATTTAAAAGCCTAGAAATCCAAAATCAAGGTGTCAGCAGGGCCATGTTCCCTCTGAAGGCTTTAAGGAAGAATCCTTCCCTGCTTCTTCCTAACTTCTGGTGGTTGCCAGCAATCCTTGGTGTTCCTTGGCTTGCAGCTGCATCACATAGCCTTCGTACCTCTGTGTGTCTCCGAATCTTGCTCTCCTTATAAGAAAATACCAGTCATTGGATTTAGGGCCAACCCTAATCCAGTCAGACTTCATTTGAACTTGATTATATCTTCAAAGACTCGGTTACCAAACAAGGTCACATTCACAATGGGGGTACTGGGAGTTAGGACTTCAACGTCTCTTTTGGGGGGACACAATTCAACTCACAATGACCTTGACAGTTTTGAGCACAGGTCAGGTATATTGTTAGATGTCCCTCTACTGAAATTTGTCCAATGTTTTTCTCATGATTAGACTGGGATTAAGGTTTTTGGGATAAAGATTACAAGTTAAAGTGCCATTTGCATCGGATCAAAGGTACATACTATAAACACGATTTATGACTGCTGATACTGACTTTGATGACACGGCGGAAGTAATGTTTGTAAGGTTTCTCCACTGTAAAGTTACTCTCTTCTTCAGCCTTTCTATACTGTGTTCTTTTAAAGGAAGTCACTGTATGTAGCCCCCATTTAAGGAGTGGGGAGTTATACTCTCCCTCCTTCACGCTGGAGTACCTATATAATTTATTTGGAAATCTTCTGCATGGGAGATTTGTCTCTTCTCCATTTATTTATTCAATTATGTATTTATATTAGTATGGACTAAAGGATATTTATTTTATACTTTGGGTTATAATCCAATACTACTTTATTTGTTTCGTTGCTCAAATTATTCCAGCTTTAGCCATTAGGAGCACTTTCAACTGGCTCCTGTACCCCTCTGACAGACTCCCATCAATGGTTTGTTTTTGAGCATTTCCTGACTTTGAGGCACTACAGGATGCTCCAGGCTCATCTTGTATGTTTCCTGCACCAGTGCTAGAACCAGTCATTTCTCCAAGAAGCCCAAACCATAAAAAACCCAAACCTGTTGCTGTCGAGTTAATTCCGACTCATAGTGACCCTATACAACAGAACAGAACTGCCCTATAGGGTTTCCAAGGCTGTAATCTTTACGGAAGCAGACTGTCACATCTCTCTTCCATGGAGTGGCTGGTTTGAACTACCCAGGCTCCCTTTATTGTGGAATAGTATTAGAAATCAAGATCTGGGTACTTGGTGGGCTTATTACTACGGGGTTGTCATTTCTTTCAGACCCTCTCAGCTAACAGAGCAAAGAAATAGATGTGCGTATGCTAACTGTGCATATACACATTATCTATAAATATCATATATGTAACCATCTATATATTAAGTTAAACATGACTTTTTTATTGTGGTAAAAATATACATAACAAAACATTTGCCAATTCAACAATTTTTACATGTATTAATTCAGTAACATTGATTACATCTATCATGTTGTAAAACCATTATCATTATCTCTTTCCAAATTATACCACCACCATCAAACAGAAACTCAGTGCCCCCTAAGCAATAATTCCCCCTGTCTCTCTCCTTCCCACCCATGGTAACCACTAACAAGCTTTGGTTTCTATATATTTGTCTATTTCATACGAGTGTGATCATACAGTATTTATCCTTTTGCGACTGACTTATTTCACTCTGCATAATGTTCCAAGGTTCATCCATGTTGTAGCATAAATCAGGATTTCATTTTTCTTTATGGCTGAGTAATATTCCATTGTATGTATATATCACATTTTGTTTATCTATTCATCTGCTGATAGACATTTCAGTTGTTTCCACATTTTGGCTATTGTGAATAGTGCTGCAATGAACATTGGTGTAAGGTTGCTGTTTGAGATCCTGCTTTCAATTCTTTTGGGTATATACCTAGGATTGAGATTGCTGGGTTGTACGGTAATTTTATGTTCACCTTTCTGAGGAACCGCCAAACTGTTTTCCACAGTGGCTATACCATTTTGCATTCCCACCAGCAATGGATGAGGGTTCCAATTTCTTCATATCCTCACCAATACCTGTTGTTTTACTTTTTTTTATCACAGTCATTTTAGTGGGAGTGAGGTGGTATCTTCATTGTGGTTTTGATTTTCATCTCCCTAATGGCTAATGACGTTGAGCATCTTTTCATGTGCTCGTTGGCCATGTGTATATCGTCTTTGGTGAAATGTCTATTGAAGTCCTTTGCCCACTTTCTGATTGGCTTGTTTGTCTTTTTGTTGTTAAGTTAAAGTCAGTTGATTTTTTATAAATGTGACAAGGAGATTCAATAGGAAAAAGAAAGTTTCTTCCACAAATAGTTCTGGAACAACTGGATATCCATATTGGAAAAAAAAAAAAAAAAACATCAATCCTATGTCACACCATACACAAAAATAGTACCAAAAAATGGATCACAGGCCAAAATTAAAAAAGCAAAATGATAGAATAATATGAGAAAACCTTTGTGAAATTGTGGTAGGCAAAAATTTCTTACACAGGTCACAGAAAGTACTAACGATAAAAGAAAAAAATGATAATTAGACTTTGTCAAACTTAAAATGTTTGCTCTTTGATAGACCCAATTAACAAAATGAAATTGCAAGCCACAGACTGGAACAAAATGTTAGCAACACATATATCTGACAAAGGAGTTGTACCCAGCAAATATAACAACTCTTACAACTGAATAATCAAACAACCCAATTAAAAATGCGAAAGACATTTGACACTTAGTCACTTCACAGAAGATATACAAATGGTCAATAAGCACATGATAAGATGTTTAACATCATTAGCCATCAGGGGAATGCAACTTAAAATCACAATGAAATACCACTACACACTCACTATATAGCAAAAATTAAAGAGACTGATGATAGCAAGTTTTGGTGAGGACATAGAGCAACAGGAATTCTCATGTAGTGCTGATGGGAATGTAAATGGTACTTTGGAAGACATTTTGACAATTTCTTATAAAAGTAAGCATTCACTTCTTATATGATCTAGCAATTCCACTCCTAGGTATTTATCCAAAAGAAATGTAAACATATGCTCACACAGATGTGTATCAGAATGTTCATTACAGTTTTATTCATAATAACCAAGTAATAACTACTGTCCATCAACAGAGATATAGATAAGCAAAATAAAATATGTTCATATCACAGGACAGTATTCAGCATTTAAAAGGAATAAACTAGTAATATACTCGAGAACATAGATGAATCTCAAAATCATTTTGCTGAACAAATGAAGCTAGACCCAAAACAGTACGTATGGTATGCTTCCATTTATACAAAACTCTAATAAAGACAAATCTAATCCATAATGACAAAAAGTATACCAGTGGTTGTCTGGAGCCGAGATGGTAGTCCGGACTGACTGCAAGGGGCATGAGGGAATGTTTTTGTGTGCTGGAATGTCATGTATCATGATTAGGGTGCTGGCTATACTGGTATATACCTTTATCAAAACTATCAAACTGTACACCTAAAATGGATATGTTTTATTGTATGTAAATTATACCTTAATAAATTTGATTTAAAAAGAAAAAAAGCTAAGTAACAGTGACTATAAAGTCAGAAGGTGGGAGAGAGGCAAGGTGGAGAGGAGTGAGAAATCTGAAGGTGATATCTACAAAGAAAATAGGAGGTAAGGCTGGTTGTAGATGGCTATTGGCATTTTAGAGTGAGAAGATGAAAATAAAAGGAAAAAGAACATGAAAGAGTACTAGGAAGAATAGGAGTGAAACACCAGCAGTGATTTTCAAAGAAGACAAATCCATTAAAAATTCAATGTATATGATAAAAATCTAAGATCTTGTGGATGGGGTGGGGTTTAAGTAATGAAGCATAAAAATTGTGATGAAACTGGAGAATAGCCAAGAAAGCAAGATCCACAGTAAGCCTGGCATGTGATTCAGAGAATAGGAATTGGGAAAACTCTCCTGGAGAAAAGTCAAGCAAAAAAAGACAGTGGATATGGTAAGCCAAATGAACAGTGAGAGCAATTCGGTACCTGAGGGACCAATGTTACATATCCTCAAGCAGTTCCTAAAGTTTAGAACCTTCGAGAAGGGCATCCGTCTTGCTTAGAAAAATAAAAAAAGAACTACTTCCATGTCCCACATCTGCCTGGGTCACACTCACTCACCTGAATAGCTTTGATGTAGGGTTTCAGCTTCCAGTGTCCATGGTTCTTCTCCTTGCTCCAACTTGAAGATGACCTCAGGTTTGGGAACTTGGTACCCTGTTTACAGGACATGACACAGAATTGAGTCCAGCTAGTTGCTTTCCATTTGCTCTTCAGAAAAGTAACCACATTTCACTGGGAACAGAGTAATAACCACGGAGCTAAAAAGGGACTGAAGAATCTCAGGCAAATCAAGGACAACATCATCACACACTTCAGATGTCCTGCAGCACTCAGCAGCTGAGAATGGAAAAACTCTAACTGAAGCACCTCGAAGATTCACAGGATGGCTGTACTTACCTACTGAGAGCAGATGGCTGTAGTTCTCCAGTGTCACATCACGGTACAGGCGTCTCTGAGCAGAGTCCAAGTGCCGCCACTCCTCCCTGCTGAAGTCCACAGTCACATCCTCGAATGACACTGATACCTGTAACAACACAATCCTGTTCAAGGTGACATGGTCAGCATTTGGGATGGGAAGAAGATAAATAGGAAGTTTATTTTAATAATGTTTCACCATAATATACCATACAGTATGCCTATAAAACACCAAGTTAGACACAATATTGTATAGGATACAAATATCTCATTGAAAATTTCTATTTGTTATATACAACACTTAGTCATTTGTTTTTTAAAATAACAGTTTTATGAGATTTGATCTTGATCCTATTTTGTTCATTTTTATGAGAAATTCATTTTCCAGAACTTTTAGAAGGAAGCATGAATATGTGCTGTTATGGGTTGAACTGTGTCCCCCCCAAAATACAGGTTGGAATCCTAATCCCTATACCTGTGGATATAATTCTGTTTGGAAACAGGGGTTTTCTTTGATATGTTAATGAGGCCATATCATTGTAGGGTGTGCCCTAAACCTAATCACTTTTGAATTATAAAGAGCAGATTAGACACAGACACATGCAAAAACTGGAGAAGACAGATGCCATGTGAGGATCATCAAGGAACCAAGGAATGCCCAGGGCTACTAACAAGAAAAGAATTGAGGTGGCTGAGACCCTGGTTTGGACTTTTAGCCTCCAGAACTATGAGAAAATAAATTTGTTCTTTAAAGCCAGCCACTTGCTGTATTTCTGTTACAGCGGCACTAGCAAACTAAGACACCTGTTTTTGTTTTTTTTAAACTTCACAGGGCTCCCTCTACTATTACTTTCAATTACTCTACAAAAATATGGCCATTTCCTCTTGCTATCATTTTATTGCTGATTTCTAATTCCATGGTGGTCAGAAAATATACTCAGTATGATTTCAGCACATGGTCTATCTATAGGAATGTTCCATGTGTTCCTAAAAAGAATGTATAGTCTGCTGTAGATGGGTATAGGGTTCTATAATACATAGATCAAGCAGGCTAAGTGTTGTTGGAATCGCCTATCACCTTACTGATTTGTTTTCTACTTGTTCAATTATTTGTCATTTTAGGAGTGAAAACTGACAAGAAGATTTTAAAGTTTACATGGATATTCAAAGGACCTAGAGTAGCCCAAATAGTCTGAAAATGAAGAAAAGGTATGGAGGATTTACACTGCCTAATGTTAAGACTTGGAGCCCTGGTGGTGCAGTGGTTAAGAGCTACGGCTGCTAACCAAAAGGTCAGCAGTTTAAATCTACCAGCTGCTCCTTGAAAACCCTATGGGGCAGTTCTACTCTGTCCTATACAGTCACTCTGAGTCAGAATCAACTCAATGGCAATGTTCTTTTATGTTAAGGCTTACTATAAAGCTATAGTAATTCGGACTGTGTGGTATTGGTGTAAGGACAGACAGATATATCAATGGAACAGAATACAGAATCCAGAAACAAACCCACACATATACGGACAACTGATTTTTGAAAAAGGTGCCAATGCGATTCAATGGTGGAAAGGAAAGTCTTTTAAAAAAACTGTACTGAAACAACTGGATATCAGTATTGGGGGAAAAAAACAAACCTTGACCCACACTTTATATCATATACAAAATTAACTTCATCTACCCAAAGCAATCAACAGATACAATGCAATCCTGATCCAAATTCCAAAGGCATTTTTTAATGAGATGGAGAAACAAATCACCAACTTCATATGGAAAGGGAAGAGGCCCTGGATAAGTAAAGCACTACTCAAGAAGAAAAACAAAGTGGGAGGCCTCACACTACCTGATTTTAGAACCTATTATATCGCCACAATAGTCAAAACAGCCTGGTACTGGTACAACAACAGATACATAGACCAATGGAACAGAATTGAGAATCCAGACAT